GTCCAATTACTGCTGTCTGTAGGCGCGGACTTCAATATGCGAGATAGCTCTGGTCAAACTGCTTGCGATGTCGCTCTACATCTAGGTCACGAAGATGTATGGAATGTGCTCTCATGCTGCCGCGAGCAGTGTGAAGGCAGAACCTTAATGGGACAATTGTGTTCTTTGAAGAGTATACACGCTGAGGAGATCGTTCAAGCTCTAAGCCTAGAAAAGTCGGATGCCTATAGCCTTCTTCAAACTGCTATATCGCTGAGAAACCAGGCTGTACTGGACGCTCTATTAGGTGCTGGAGTGGACCTGATGGCCAAGGGCCCCGACGGGCTGACCCCGGTACACTACGTGGTGCACTGGGGTCTTTTAACTACGATGAAGACTATGGCACCGTATGTGAAGGATATTAATGCTTTCTATCCGCCGTTGCTTCATATTGCAGCGAGTCGAGAATTGTCCAACTTGCAGATGATAAATTTGTTGATCAAACTGGGCATCGATGTCAATGCTTCATATCAGGAGCCCTCCGATGAGGACTCCGACGAAAGCACGGACAGACCAGTCCCTGAATACACGGCTACACATATTCTTGCAGTGGGCGGGCAGTGGTGGAACATCGAAGCGCTTGAGACTCTCTGCAGCGCAGGAGCAGACCTTGAAATCACGGACTCGGGCGGAAACACCGTCCTACAGTGCGCGCTTGCCGGCAGGAGCCGCGGTCCAAGTAGGGACGGCTTCTTCAGAGATGAAACTCTGGAGGTGGTTCTAAGGCATGGCGCGAATATTAACAAGCTATCGCCGAGTAACGAGTCCACACCTCTTCTCGTGGCTTTAGAAGCCGAACGAGGTTGTAAACTTGTCCAGAGACTCCTTGACCACGGCGCCGATATAAATCTGGGCCATGTACCCGCCTTATTTGCTGCCATACAAAGTCGCGATTGTGAAGCTATAGCCGTGATCCTGAATGCTGGTGCGGATGTCAATGCGGTATACTATCCAGAGAGACCATATGAGGCGATTCTCAAGGTGAAAACACCCCTCCTGGCTGCCGCCTTGGAACCAAGGGAAGTTGGAGAGACGATTATGACCCTCCTCTTGCAGCGGGGGGCAAACCCTTTATTAGAGCTTGAGGAATGCAACAGTACAGTCTTCCATCAGATCGCGCATCACCATGGCCGCATTGGGCCTATTCTAAAATCTATCCCTGAGGCTCTCGACGTCACAGACCGCAACGGCCTTACCCCCTTACTGAGTGTTTGCTCCTCTGTCGTTGGATATAATACAGGCGAAGAGGCGACATCAATTGAACTCATACATGCCGGCGCAAATATTCACGCCACAGACAAGGACGGCTCAACCCCTCTACACCTTGCCTGTCGTTCCGGCAAATGCGCAACCGTCGCCCTGCTATTAGAAAAGGGTGCACCCTGTTCTACAACCAACAACGCCGGTCTATCCCCTCTCTACTACGCTCTGAGTCACTCCAATAATGTCGAAAGGCTTGAAATGACTAACACCTTGCTTGCCGCTGGTGCAAATCCCCTCATAACAGGCCCGCACGGCGAAACAGCATTACACATTCTAGCCCCGCTTCTCGTAATTTTCAGCTCCGCCGACCAAGGCTACCGATCAGGGTGGCACATATACTACCAGGCTGAGTTGAAGAATCTATACAATCGCTTCGTACAATCCGGCTGCGATGTCAATGCCCGTGACGCCCATGGAAACACGCCATTGTTTCCGTTCGTTCAGACAATAAAGGCACGAGATGAATACAGCATCGGCTCACCACCTGCAGAAGAGGATGTCCGCGAGATGTGTGAAGCTCATGATATATTTGCGGTTAATGATAATGGGGATACGCTGTTACATGCTATTGCGGGGCGGGAAGATACTCGTGAGAGTGAGAGTGAGCCCGATGGCGTGTGGCTATTTGAGGAGTTGATGGCGCGTGGATTGGATGCTAGGAAGGAGAATAAACAAGGACTGACTGCTTTGGATGTTGCTGCAGCTCGTGGGATGCAGGGGATTATGAGGTTGTTTGAGAAGGAGGAATAGACAAGTATATCTATCGTCTGGTGGAGGAACGTGTTTAGGGTTGTGGTCTAATTGAAATGCATGATAGCACAGACAGAGTACGTGCATAGTTACTGCCACTGCCATTGGCTAGCTTCCACCTCACGACCGATAAAGTTGCTTAATTATTCCTCGTACCGAATCCACCAGGTGTATCTTTCCCTAGTCTACTAGATATAAGATTATAAGTGACAGAGGGATAGCAAATTTACAATCATCTACCTGTAACACCTTTGGTCAAGTGCTGTCTTGGGCTCTGGACGTTAGGCATGGTTCGTAGGGAAATGTCAGGTTAATATAAACTAAGGCGCCCTACGTGTATTTATGGTTTAGGGCTAGCGTCACCGACCAGTGCGGTAAAGACAGCTCACTGGCGTATAAGTTTAGGATCAGCGATAACCAACGGCTAGGATGACAATAAATAGATATTCCAAAGTCCACCAGCGCATCATATTAAAAGTAAGTACCAAGCATAGCCCAAGAGTCTCCACCTCAAGCCTTAACTTTTGGACCCCAAACACAGCCCCTCCCAACAGGACAACTGCAAGGCTGCCGAAACGCCCAACGTTCATTGGGCTGTAATATCTGCGACTAAGAATGTTAGCACCAGAACTAAGATATCCCGTGTCATGCAGATCATACTACCATTTTCATTAAGTGTAGAGCACAGCCTTGACACCGGAAAAATGGAGGAGAGCTGCATACTCTCCTCCGGCGTGCTGGGGGATTACTCCACCACCTCTACAACATCAATATGCCTCCAGACCGGCAGAATGAGGCCTCACGTTCGGACTCGCCCGTCTCGAGCGTACATTCTCACGACGAATCCATATCGGCAAATGGAGATCATATTTTATATGCAGATGGGCTTCGACTGACATATCACCCACCAGCACCACAACCCCAGAGGCCCTCTCCCGAGGTAACAGAAAAAAGAAACCAAAGAAAGCTCTTCGGACAATCTATATGGACGCTAAACTCGGCCTGGTATGTCTGGGAAGTCCTAGCAGTGATCTTATCAGCTGCTACGCTCATCGCCATCATCGTCATCCTCACCAAGTTTGACCAGCAGCCGCAACCGACCTGGGGACATGTATCCCTGAACTCGGTCATCTCCTGGCTGAGCACGATCTCCAAGGGATGCGTTTTGTACGCCATCAGCGAGGCCCTGGGCCAGTTGAAGTGGGTGTGGTTCGCGCAGGGGACACGACCCATGCCGAATCTCCGGGCATTCGATTCAGCTAGCCGGGGGTTCTATGGAAGTGGGGAGTTGATATGGACATTGCGGTTTCGGTGAGTAGATAGATAGGTACTGTGTTCTGTTTTCTCCTGTGTCTGTCACTAATGGGGTTTTACCTATGTTCAGACACTTCGCGGTTTGGGGTAGTTTGGCTGTGATTCTAGCGCTAGCGTTTGATCCCTTCACGCAGAATCTCATTCATTATTTCCCGAATTCAGTCGTAGACCCTTATCAACGAGCTTTCCTGGCAAATAGTACATACTACAACACCACCGGACCGCCATCACAGAACTATGCCAGTAAGTCCCCAGCATACTCGCAACTTACATGGATTATAGCTTAACCCAAGACACTCCAGTCGTCTGGGTTGACCCATCCGTCAAAGCAAATGTATATAACTCGCTCTTCAACAACGACCAGTCCAAACCATGGGCCACCCCCAAGTACATCTGCAACACAAGCAACTGCACCTGGGGCCCAACAGCCGCCATCGAAGTCCGCGCGCGCTGCTCCAACGTCACAGATCAACTCAACGCAACGTGCTTCACCGTCACGAACAATCCCGCCGGATACGACGGAACAACCAACTGCACCGCAACCCTCCCACTAGCAAACACAACAGCATGGTTCCTGTCCGGCATGGACGTCCTCCAACCCTTATCCATTGCCACCGTGCCCGCTACCACAGCACTCATCTACAAAAACGCCACGCTCCCCCCAATCCAAATGGTCGCCCCGACCAATCTATCCCTGAACACCATGTTCACTGAAAACACCACGAAATGGCACGCAACTGAATGTTCCATCCAGCCGATAGTCCACAGTTTCAACGCCACCGTCACCAACAACATCTACTCGGAGACCACCATCGCAACATGGGAAAAAGGCTGGGCTACCTGGGACACCGACCTCAACATATCCGAATCAGAACTCCAGAAAATCCCAACCGGAATGTACTTCTCACCTCCCTGGGGCCTCGACCAAGGTATCGCCCCAAACACCAGTTTCATGCTCTCCGGCCTCGCAGGTTCCTCCCTCGATACCTTCTTCCAGGGCCTGTTTACGGGGGTCTGGTTCATGCGATCCATCTATAGTTCTTCGTTTGTACCGGGCCCGTTGAATATGTATGCCGCACCGGATTTCATCCAGACAATGGCGATGGGGAATATCACCGGCTGTGATGAGGGGAGTATGGATAAGCTGCAATGCGCGATGGAGAACGTGGCTGCGGCGGTGACGAAGTCGTTCCGGGATTCGGTGTTTCTTGGGACGGATTCCGGGGACCCCGTGAGGGCGCGTATGGCGGCTGGAAAGGCCATGGCGAGTATGACTTATGTGGAGGTAAGGTGGCAGTGGATTGTGCTTCCGGGTTTGGTATGGGTGTTGGGTGCTGTGACGCTGGTTGGGTCTATGTGGAAGAGTCGGGGGGTGAGGGCTCCCAAGTGGAGGAATGATCCTATTCCCTTGTTATTTTTGTTTCGGGGTCGGGGACATGGTGTTGGTGTGTCTGAGAGGGAGGCTGAGGACAAGGCTGAGGGTTTGCGGGTGAAGTTGTATGAGAGTAATGGTAGGATGGCATTGGGATGATCTATATGCCAGGGCATTTTGTTTCATATCTTGTTTTTTGATGTGTTTATGGAAGGTAATTTGGTATATATATATATATATATATGTAATGAGATACCCTGAGATAATATATATGCTGCCAGATGTCTTTCAAATGTATTATATTATATATCGAGGATAGTACATGTAGTACTAGGGTATGTTTCCCAGCAAGAAAAGTCATCAAGCATAACCGCGCCAGCAAATCATAGCCCAGAAGACATGCGAAGACGAATAGTTGATCGAGTCAACCTGCAAGTAATGATCTGGCTGGTCCAGCATGTCATAAGAGATTATTGGAATGTAATACATGCTGAGCGACACGAACCAGTGGAGGAGCATGTAGAGGACCAAAATCTGGGATGCTATACTGTAGCCACTCATTGAGGGCAGAGCATCATGCTCCAATAGGGCTGAGAAGAGATAGATTTTCCTGGGCGGTGAAAGATAGAAGAAACATACCTACTAATAACCATATCATATGGACCCACTGGCCAGAGACGTTAAGGCACGTTTACCCTGTTGCGACAAGGATCGTTGTGGCATCGGTCGTTGAGCTAATATACAGGGGTGACTGGATTCCTCATAATTGTAGAGTAAGGAGAGTAAATAAGCACAGGTAGCTACTAGTTTGTCTAGAGAAACCGTGTCAGGTTGCGTCGACCTCGTTATATGGCTAACTTCAATTCGCCAGCCCTACCCCCCGATTATATATGTACTTCAAGAAGATATATATCGCCCCCTCACACGTCGCAGAATAAAAGTTCATCTGAAACAAGACCATCTTTGGGTCTATGCTTTCTTTTGAACCTTCCGGTCTCCGCAAATCTAAGCGAAGATCGGGGATGATGTGGGGATTGTTTCAGGGTGAGATTTGGGGAGGGGTTGAGGTTTCCACAAGGGGTGAATGTTCATTTGCTTGTTTCCTATATTTGGGATTGTGTCTCATCTGGAAAGATGTTTACTTTTGCTCCGCACACGAACCACGTCGGGGACATGATTGGTCGTTGGTTCTGCTTGTGGTTCTGGTTCCGGGACGGACAGATGGTTCCTGAACCAGGGATGGTGGTATTGAATTGCTAGTGTAGAAAAATAAAACAGTCCAGACACAATTTCAATCTGATTCACGGCGAAACCCGTAGTAGTTTCTGAATGATTGATAGACTTATACTCGATCCAATTGCATAGCGGATCATAGATACACGAAAAGTAAACGATAACATAGCTTCTATAACATGGTCAATGGACCCAAACGTGCTCATACGCCAATAGTCGCCAACCAGGACCCAGACTGAACCCAAAAACAAGAGAGAAAAGCATGCGAGAAACTCATTTCACCTCGTTGGCGTCGGAAAATGGACTATCCGTTCGCTCGGGTGGGATTCGGCTGCTTCGATTAGATCTGGTGCCCTCGTCAGGCTCGAGTCGAGACGACAAGCGCGCCGATGCGCGTCGGTTTGTCTGGGGATCTGGTTGATCATGGAAAGGGCTCTGCTCAACGGCGGGGGAATCCTCGATTACTGTCGGGCTCTTAGGCGCCGGCGATCCGCCCTTGCCGGGTTGGATGTGCTTCACATGGGCTTCTTCCTCGTCGGATGAATTGGCGTCAAAACCCGAGGTCGGGCCAGATGGTGGCTTCGTACTTGATGCAGCCGAGGTGGATGATTCCGACTGCTCCTCAATCGTCTGTACGGCGGGCGAGGTGGCACTAGGGGGCGCCGTCTTGCTGTTGTTTTGATCCTTGTTCTTCTTTTTAATGCTACCCCTCACCATAACCGGTTTAGCGGTGACCGTGCGTGCCACAATAGAACTGTTGCTGTTCGATTCGGTGACACCAGCGCGGGCGAGCTGTGCTTGCGTGATAGCGGGGACCGCAGGCGCATCGGGAGGAGCTAACGTGTTCCCGGATCCCGGAGGGTTACCTCCGTTGTGAATGCTGACCACCGCAGCCCGGGTGCGCATTGCCTGCTGAGCCGGCATGGGGCTCACAATCGCATTATCGCGATAAATCGTGGTGGCAACGCTGCTACGCAAACTGGGGGCGATACTGCGATGCTGGCGGGAGGCCTCGGACCAGGCCGAGTCGCGCAGGTCACCCGGCATGAAGAAGTGCTGATCGGGAGCGGCACCCGGAAGCGGGGGGACAGGCGGTACCAGGGGCGTTTCTGGGGGAGAGCGGTTGGTGACGCCGGGTATGTAGGCGATCTGAATGACGTTCGAAGCGCGAGTGAGTACGGTAGAAGCGATGGAGTTGGTCGATTTCCGTGCCTGGCGAGCATCGGCGAATGTGCTGGATTTTTCGCCGTCGCTGGTCCCTTGTTGTTCTGCTAATTCCTGACGCTTCTTGCGGACGAAGAACCACCATACCAGGAAAGTGATGAGGGCCACAGCAGCTACACCCCCAACCACACCACCGGCGATGGCGCCCACATTGCTTCCCCCTGATGAGCTACCCTGCGAGCTCGAACCACTGGACGTTTTAATGCATTTGGTTGTAGCGCATTGGTCACACGACTGACTGATCATGGTACATATTTCGCCAGAAGGGCATGACGGGCACGTCGGGGCAGTTGAATCGCATGAGACACATCGTTTAAAGATGGATCGACCGGACAGGACTTAACGTCGATACAGTCAGTACATCAAGCTAGGCGGTGAACCAAAAATCAGGACCTACCGTTAGAAGAAAAAGACGGGTTGGTTGAGTCGAGGGACATGATGACGGTTTGAATACAAGAGGAATAAAAAGGGAAAAAAAGCGGATATTGGGAATCGTCGTTAAAATGAGAAGGCTGACAACACAGAAAAAAGAGTGGCTGGCCGGTCAACGGCGTAAAGAACGTGTACTGATAATTCGAAAAGAGTGAAAGGCTCGAACAGACGTCAAGTCGTGAGCGTTACGATAGGATCATGCGTCGGAAAGCGTCCTTTATGAAAAAGAATGGACGGAGGAATTGGGCATAATCCTCCAAGAACAAGAACGGTGATGTTGATGTTGGTTGTCAATGGTGAATGTTGATGGGGATGACCGGTAAAGGTCGAAAGGTCTGGCGAGGCACGGCGCAGGGACAAGTCAATTTCTGCACATTGATAGGTGGGTGTGTTGGAAGGTTGACGTCGGGGGGGACACGCGTTGCGGCTGCCAGGGGAAAAAAAGGATATCAGAGCGGGACCCCTGGGAAAGGGTCAAACGGGGGTATCCAGAATTGATAGAAGAGAAAGGTGGAAGAGGAATGGAACGAAGGGATAAGAAAGGTGCGGCGAGGAAAGCGAAAATAATCAAGATAATTAGAATGACGAGGTTCAAACGAGGGAAAGAAGAAAGTGAGAGGGAGGAGGACGGACGTACTACTAATCAGACAAGAGGAGAGAGAGACGGACGGGTGGACGGTGGGAATCAGGTGGAGAGCAACTTGGAACTGACTTTCGTTTAATTAATCGGGATGCTTACGTCCACTCACTTCCGTGGTTTATCACCACCACCCCGGCTGGGCAAGTGGAGAGAACGTGCACGGGACCGAGACGATGTAACCGACAGGAAGAAGCCCTTCAATAAAGAAAAACATCATCTTAGTTTGAGTATTCCAGATTATCCCTGTTCCCCGGGGGGGACGATGATGAGGATGACTGTCAACGTATATATCCTGTACAACGCGTGTCGAGTCTGTCTACTCCGTACTCCGTACATATATGTACTGTACTATATATACATACATCTACATATGATTCCAATGGCGGATGCATTATTACTATGACTATTGGGAAACTATCCAACGACCGAGTGTGGGATCTTCGACGGGAGAATTAATTAGTTAATCAATGATATGATCACTCAGTTGTGCGAGTTCAACCAAGTACATCCATAACATGTACCCCTGACATGATCCATGGACCGACAGTTGCCTTTCCCAAGGGACGGAAAAAGTGAGAGGGGGGCACTTGCACTCCTCGGGGAATTAAACCAACCATCTCGTCATGTCATACACCACCACAAACCACCTCATTCATATCGTTAGTGCTGGCCGTGGTCCCAAGAGAGATAACGGGCGTGTCTGGAACTCGCCTGCTGGTCTGGACCCAATCCACGTTCCTTTGCCGGGAGATTAAATTGTGGCCTCTCCACCAATGACCGTTCTCCGTGCTAGCCCACCTGTTGGCCTGAGGCACAGTCACTTCACAGTCAGCAAGTCACTCGAAGGAGTAACCACATCGCAGGGCTGCATTGCACTGCCCATGCAGAGTTTCACCGTCCCCTGCGGCTGCTTGCTGACTCTGCCAGGTCGTTAGACTAATTCTCCCCCGTCATTGGTTGACTGTTAGATTGCGCCTTTTCCCTCTTCAGGTTCCCTTAGAAGAAACTTTCCGTACCCGTTCGTTCTGCTAACTTTTATGTCGTTTGTGGAATGTGAACAGTCCGAGGTTCTGCGAGAGCCTGGATCATTCATTCCACAGGGCCGAAATGCCCTGAAGGTGTTTGAGAGCCCTCACAGAGGTTCCTTGAACCCTCGTCCTTTGAACAACTGCCGTGATACTTCACAAATCGCTTTTGTCTGCTGTGGAATAGGTGTGCCGCAGCTGAGGCTGTTTCAAGTATCAACCGTAGTCATCATCCGTTCCTGCGCACGATCCAAGACAGGAATTAGATAATGGCTCTAATACGCCAAGCTCACTCTACCTCTGTCTGTCAAACCATGTCCTATGATCTATCGCTAAGGAGGATACGACGCTTCGTATCGGACCACCTCCTTATTAACTATTTGAAAAACATCCATGCCACAGTAGGATAGTTCATCAACAGCCTTTGAGGTTTGTGGCTTTGGCTGGAGCTGCTTTGTACTCCGAATAGTTAGGATCGCAGCGTGCTCCGTGTAAAGCTTATTATATAATTCATAGCACACTTGTAAACTTAGGAAAGAAAAGGATAAAGAAAGGAAAGGATAAAGAAAGGAAAGGATAAAGAAAAGGACTAAGTCATAAAACCTCTTGGTATCGCAGTGATAGCGAGTGAAGTTTGCGCTATAATCGGGGCTACTGATATTATCGTCAGTTTGAGAATGTAACTAAACGCCTACAGAATGATAGATCCTACATTACATAAATCTGCATCTATTTATTTCGGCACACTCTATCCCTTAGAATTCCTTGGATTTGACTTGTAATGTGCCAATTAATGAGAATGTTGACATAAATGATTTGTGTATGTCTTGGACCTAGGCTTAGCCAAGTACGAGAACAGCAGCATTACAAATTCCACGACGTAAACAGTGCAATTGAGGCTATAGAACTTTATAGAATAGCGCAAGGATCACTACTTAATTTGATGTGCCTGGTCTCATCGATTTATTCTTTTCGGCTTCTGGTCCATGAGATCAATTATTGTTGCAAAACATAGTCCTGAGGTACTATAGAGGCCGGTCCAGCTCCTCGTAGATACGAGTCTTTGAACTTTTATTGCTCAAGAATGTGGGCTATATATATCTAGCTCTAGCATAATTCTGTAGGCTACAGCGAAAAAATGGAAGAATGAAAATTAAAGGGTTTTATGAGTTATAGTTGTACTTGACCATTTTGACGGTGTAGGTATTTCAATATATATTTCCCGACGACCAGGCCGAGCCAAACAATTTATTGAAACTGAACTAGAAAACCAGTCGGTCAAGCGTCAGAACCTATCTTATACCATTATTAACCCTAGATAAAACTTAGATATCGTAGTAAAAACATCTTCAACTATCCCTATGTAACTTGGAGTATGCGTGTTGGAGTTTGGATGTTATGGGGTACAGTATCTGCCGAAGTCAATCGTGGTCGATAGCATTGCTGAGACAAGCATAGTAAGTATCGACAATGATCGACTCTGATATCATCGAATGATCATCTACGATAACCATAGGGCCATGACTGCATCATAATTCCAAGTCGATCTTCTGCACTGGAGTGATACTGAGTCAGGAAGCTGGGACACTGACGTGCCGAGGGGGCGGTGGCTGAGCTTCTGATAACCGATATGATAACAAACACCTCAGCCACACTTCCTGCAGCAGAAATTTAATTCTAAATTATTTTTTTTAAACATATTATATATTTTTTTTTCTGGTTACCCCCCCATCTCCCCCTCCTTTTAGACTACGTCAAACCAAAGTGAATTGATAGATACCATTCCATGCCACTAGTTTCACAATAGTGGCAGAGTACTCCGTACAGTGGACTGTCACTAAAAATTTCCAAGAATAGCAAACCGAAAGTCGAAAGAAGGGGATTTGAAGACAGCTGAACCAAGGCTAGCGCAACTCCCAAAGGTGTGGCAGTGATCGTCATTGTCTCCAGCCCAACTGGGAAACCCTGAAAAAGGACCAAATCATGTCAACGTTTGTAATAAGTGAGAAGGTTGGGTGTGGAAAGTGGAAACGGGGGTGTTCCTGAAAATTACCCATCCTTAGCATTGACAGCAAGTGTGAAACCGCGGCTGAACAGGGTGTCAAGGCTAAGGCCATGTCCAAGTCGCCCATTGGACTCGTCGTTTGCTTCCGACGAGCTTGGCTGATTTTAAGGATTTGAAGCTAGCGTCCTTGGTGGCTGTTGGGTTGACCAACGGTTGATTAACACGGCCTCTTGGGTGGGCAACCACGGTCCCCGCAAGGCTATATTTGGCCGTGTCACTATCCTCCTTTGGGTCTCGTCGAACGAGTCCCGCCCCCTGAAAAGAGGTGATCCAATATCCCAAGTGATTTGTCGGACGGCAGTTGGGGTACCGTACCGAACCGTATGGTAATTACCGCATAGGGCCCTGGTCAGGTTCAGGCGGTGTGAGAATCCACTCCAAAGTCATGAATCAGGTCAGCAGTTCCACTAACAATAGGGTGGTTGGCTGTGTTTCGTAAAATGTTTTTGATTCACTGAAGATCGTCTTGAATCTGTTCATGGGAAGAGACATCATTGTGGTGCTCGATGTGGATCAAATGCAACACGAATAACTCCGAGCGTGTTTTTGTCGTCTCGCGATTTATTGCGATGTCGTGATAGAGTATAGACTTCGACCATCACTGCGGCTATCTCCTTCCCCTGGCAGTTCAGCCATGCTGTCGAGGGATGTGGAATGCTGGGCCAGCAGGAAATGTCGGCCATTTCTCACTAGACGCTCCTACCAATGGAAGGCACGGATCGCGTCACACTTGTTCCACTGATATGAGGTGGCGAGCTGCTTATATGGACCTTGGTCTTGGTGACCTCAAGCTGATTGAATGCTAATGATCTGAACTTGTGGTACTCTGTATTAAAAGAAGGGAGGTCTTGTATATATTCAGTCCAGTCTAATGAGAGCGGTTACACAGGGCGCAGACCCTTAACAATAATTGGTTTTATCTATAAACATTCTAGTGTATAAATTAATCATCATGTGGAGTGATTTATGTGATTTGATGCTTGGCTGTATCAGTCAATAGGGAGTAAGATCTCAATTTTAGTCGTTCTCGGATGAATTACACATGCTGTATAGCTATGTCGAATATCTTCTCCTATGTATGTGCCGCGGACAATAGGTGTCATGTTCTCAGGATGCTTGAATGAAGAACTCAATACTCCAGCCGAAGCTATGTACTATTTCTCATTCACAATGGTTGAGGACGGACTTGATTAAAGTGTATGGATTTAATCACCTACTACAATACAAACGGGGTTAATGAGGAAAATGAATCACGGGGTGGGTAAAATGAATTACACGGGTAATAATCTTACTGGGATACAATACATGGACGGATGGTTGACCCTCTCTGTATGGAGTCTTTCTGGAATGGTTTCTCCCCTGATATCCAATCCATAGAGAGACCCCAAAAAGGAGATCGCGTCTCTTAAGAGGTATGTATTGTATGATGGAAAATTATTGTCCGGTGAGATCCTTATTCGGATCGGCTATCAGAATTCTCGTCAATAATCCTACTACTACAGGTATGGTTAAAAATATCAATAAAAGTGATCTATGATAACCTAGGATATTATTTTTGTTTGAAGATTTTCTTTTCTTTTCTTTTTTTTTTTTTTTTTTCCCACTGTTTAAGATCACAGTCTACTGGATTTAGTGTGGGACGCTCTAAGCCCGAACCAGAGATTTGGTCAAGAATCCTCGTCTCCACTCAATACCACCCCCAAACTTCGCCTTTCCCCCGACAATACACTGGCTGAGGCTAAAATACAAAAAAAAAAAACATAATAATAACTCGCCAGACCATTTTAACGGTGTGAAAGGGCAAGGCTGTCCTTCTCGTATCCAAATTTTTTTCTAATTCGTAGTTGGCTGTGCTCTGTACGTATGTTCCTTTGACTTGCCTCTCGTTAATAATTTTCTTTTTTTCTTTCCCTTTCCCTTTCTTCGATCACCTGCCCCCCTCAAAAT